ATTGCAACTTAAGCAACGTCTGCTGCTGCCTTACCTTTGAGAGACAACTGACGTGTGATCACTGAAGCAGCTCCAGTTAGCAAGCGCTTTCGGAGTGAGAGTGAATTCTGCTTTGATTGGTCTGACTCGTGACTCCCAACAAATCAGATGGGCGGTGGGTGGAGACGGCTTTAGGCCACAGAGTGGTGAGTTCTGACAGGCTGCATCAGAGCCAAATAGCGCGTTTCAAAATTAAGTTATTTTATCAGCGAATCGGTTTTGAAAATGACTGATACCGATAATCATAAAAATGCTCAATTTCGGCGCCAATAATCGGTCGACCCCTACAATGGAGATATCGGTCTTAACATCCTGGCAGAGTTCTTACAAAAACACAAAAGATTCAACAGTTTGTGATCCTATTTTACTCATTTTTCAAATCCTGTCAAAATCTGTGAAACCTAGCAAAAAAAGGAAATGAGTCAACTGATTGTTCTGCATCTCTCATGTTATGCAAGAAGCCTCTCATCAAAACACCAAAACTGTATAGCCTAATATCCAAGGACACTACAATGGTCTCATCATTCTTACTTTTTTAATTCTGATAATGGAGCAAAACAAGCCACAACTACATATTCCAGTACATTTAATGTCCCAATGTAATGGAAATAGCGGCAGATCATTTCTTCTGTATGTGACATACATCCGAGTGAAACGGATTATTGAAAAAAATTAAAAAATAAATAAAAAAAGTAAGGTGGGGACTTGGTTCAATTCAGCAGTTGTTGATTGGATCTGAATGAAAGTTTGCAGTCTACTGTAAGATAGGAGCTGGGTTTAAGCAGAAGAAATGAAAGCATAAGTTCAGCATACGACACCAAAAAGAAAGAAGTCTGACATTTCGCTGAAAGATCAAGGTGTGGTTTTTCAATTAAAAATTACAAGCTCAAAAAAAAAGTTCTAAAACCAAAGAAAAAAAAATCATTTTATGATGAATATATAGAACTGGAAAATATGTGTTTAAACTGTAAGGATAAAAGAAACTCAGGAAACTCAGATACTTTGATCTCCTGAGAAACAGACAATACACTGGCACCTTCAAGACACCCCACAGAGGGGTGGTGCAGGAAACGCCTCTCTCACATATGCATCAGTGCCTTTTCATCTGCTCCCTCCACTGGATTCACTCAGAATGGTCAATAGTAGAATGTTCTATATGAATGCAAATAAGATTTACAGTCATGTTTGAAATGGAGTCAGATTGAGTTAAACCTAAATTGAATAACTCTGCGTGCTGAAAAGACCGAACACGCAAGTGACCTTCATCCACCACTGGATACCTTCCTTGGGCCAAGTGTGTGGACTTTACAAAACAAACCCATAAAGAGAAATCAAGTCTAACGTGTCATCGCCCATCATGCTATTCAAGAACAGAGGGGCGTGGGAAGGCAGAGAGAAACGCAGCAACTCCACGGCTCTGCCCACACAGCAGATATGAGAGCACATACCACACACAGGAAAGAATATACAACCTTTAAGTAAATGTATAACATTATGCTTCCATTTTGTGGGCTATATTTCTTCAAACATAAACATTAGCCGACAGTAATAAGGAAGCTGAGAAATTTGAGGAATGCAGGTGCTATCAACAATCAGTCTGACATCTTGACATCTCACAGATATTACAAGCCAGCTGCAGCTCGATGCCAAACACAAAGGTCCTGTTATAAAACTTCAGGTTTTACTAGGCCAAGCATGGGCCTCTACAGCTAATTACTGTAGCCTATAAGATGGGAGCACAGCAACCACATGGAACAGAGGCTTAAATACCAAAAAATGCAGGGAACTAGCCTTACAGTCCAGCCTGACTGTTTTCCACTAAGTGGTTATGGGAGAGTGGTCTGCAAAATGACAACAGCGCCCGCTTTCATAACGCCTGAAGTGCGGCCAATCGAGATGATCTCTGTTACCAACAACCTAGAAAAGCTTTCAATGTTGGGAAATGAAAAGTTAAACTGGATAAATTCCATCCAGTGTTTTAAAGGATGTAACTGGGTAGTAATATCAACAGAGGTGTGAAGACAAGTTGCTGCTCTCATTGAGATTTCATAATGACCTCATAGCAGCTCCTTCACACTTGGGGAATGGAGGAAATGATGGGGCTACACCTCCAAACAGCTTGCTTCACACTCTCTTTGTTTGCAGAAACAAAATGCAGAAAATAAAAGTTGACTTTTCACCGAAATTAACAAGGAACATCATCAGATCAATCAATGATCAAAATAATCATTAGTTGCAGCCCTTCTCCCAACGTAAACCTGCAAAAACCAAGGGAGAAAAGTCTGCAACTTGAAAGCAAATGTATTATCATCATCACACTTACATATATGAGCCCAGAGTAGTAGCGATCTTTCAAGTTGTGTAAAACAGATGCTTCATTCAGGCAGGTGAGTTCTGCCATATCCTCCACTTTGCTGAACTTGGGCGGGTTCATCTTCTGGATGTCATCTTTGTTCACCAGGGCCTTCTTGCCATTTTCAGCCAGCTCAACGAGCACCTCCTCTCCACGTTCCTCTCGGATGCTGGCCGCCTCGAACCCATGCCGTTCAGAAGGAACCCACACCAGCTTCTTGGCCGTCCAGTCTGCCTGGTTAGCTGGGTTGTAGACCATGGCCCGATCCACAAAGAGGTACCGCTCGGGGTCCTCTTGCCCGCTCCGTTGCGCCATCTCCGGCATGAGGAACTAAAAATAGGCCACCTGGAAAAAGAGTTAGAGAGAGTTAGTGATGGAAGAGCGGAGATTCACTTCAAATTTATGCGATATGACACAGCCGTGGCATAGGAGTATAAAGGGTCAATATTTCATTGGTTTTACATGGATATAGCCGAGAACATTCAATTTGCAAATACTATGCAGCATTCACTTCATCTATGGTTAACATTTTAAACCAGTCCTTATTGTAAAAATAAAACAGCTGTAGTAGTTTTTCTGGCATACATTCATAAAATACAAAAATATTAAACTACTGTGTGGATTTATATCTCACACCTTACTAGTCCACTATTAGTTAACATTCGTCAAATACTGCATTTTTGGAACATGCAGCTAGAGAAAGTTCATACTGTCATGAATCAGCTGCATATAAAACATTGTCTGAATCAGTTTACACATACTAGTTAATGTAAGTTTAATATGTATCACCTCCAGTGGCCTTTCACAGTCGCATTAACAAAAATTTATGCGATATGACACAGCCGTGGCATAGGAGTATAAAGGGTCAATATTTCATTGGTTTTACATGGATATAGCCGAGAACATTCAATTTGCAAATACTATGCAGCATTCACTTCATCTATGGTTAACATTTTAAACCAGTCCTTATTGTAAAAATAAAACAGCTGTAGTAGTTTTTCTGGCATACATTCATAAAATACAAAAATATTAAACTACTGTGTGGATTTATATCTCACACCTTACTAGTCCACTATTAGTTAACATTCGTCAAATACTGCATTTTTGGAACATGCAGCTAGAGAAAGTTCATACTGTCATGAATCAGCTGCATATAAAACATTGTCTGAATCAGTTTACACATACTAGTTAATGTAAGTTTAATATGTATCACCTCCAGTGGCCTTTCACAGTCGCATTAACAAAAAAAACAACAACCCAATAACAGCAAGAGCCAGATGGTCTCGGTCTACTCTGGCCTACAACTGGACTAAGAGTTAACGTTATTGTAATTTTCACAGAGAAAATAAAATAAGGCTAAAATAAGGCAAGCAGGGCAAAAAAATGGGTCATGTCTGTTATTTCACAGATGAGAGCCATTATACGCGTGATGAATCCCCGGTAACGTTCAACTGAAGCGGGACTCCAGGGCCGGACAGTCCTTCAAAAATTCATTCAATGATAAACCACCTCAAAAACACCCTTCTAACGGTCACGGTCTCAAAAAATAATTTGAAATTATTACCGACAAATATGCTACATTAGTACGTATACAAATAAAGCGACGAGGTGACCGTTAACTGAGATAACACGAGCTGAAGTTCGCGCCTGCAAACCACACCGGGAGCTGCACGCGACTCCTCCTCATCACCATCTCCCGTTATATGGCCCGTGGCGAGGCGGACAAACGTTTTATAAGTGCATTAGCCGACATACGGTGCTCGGGGCTGCCCAAAGGAAAAGGATTGTTCAATTTGGAAATGTATTTATCTGCTTAAAAGAACCGCAATAACAAACTCGCTAACGTGGGCTAAGCGCTAGCTCTCCCCGCTGCTTGAAAAGTAACGTTAATGCGAAAAATAATCCGTTATATGGCAACGGAGGATAAACGGGCCAAAATGAAAAGACGCATGAACTTACCACGGGCTGTCAGCGATGAGACCTACGTGCACGAAGAGATGAATGAGTTGCTATCCAGCGCGTCCAGTTTTTATAATCCAGTTCTTTTGAAAGTCGGCCAAATATTCCCTTGTTCCGCCCCTTTGCACTGATGCCACCGTCCGCAGCCCTGCTTCTCTGAACTCCTCAACCGAACTCAGCATCGCGCTCTCTTGCGCCCGCCTCTCCGTCGCCCTCCGGTCACACCCACCGGCTCCCTTATGGAACGGGGATTGGATTGTAACGGGCCTTGACCACAAGCTATTGGTTTGTTAGCATTACACCCCCCCATCAAAAAGTGATTGTTCATGCAAGCTTTCTTCTATCTAGCGGGAGCTGGATCCATAGAAACACGTTGGTTGCAAGGCCGTGAGCGTGAAATAATGACCAAAATAGGGCAGTGCATCTTTTTAATAGATGCAAAAGTACATGAACTGAAAAATATTCAAAATTATGAATTAAAATTTGAATGTATAAAAACGGAAATAATGATAAATAATAGGCGAAATAATAATAAAAAATAATAGATACCAAATATATTTAATGGTAAATTATAATTATGAAACGGTGAAGCATAGAAAATCTACCTATCTTGACGTTTGCAACCTCATTCAGACTCATTTCCGAGTCGATTCTTTCGAACGGTTCGTTTCAAAGAACTGTTTTTAAACGATTCAGCAATTTACGTGATGAATTAACTACGTATTCACCTGACACCCTGGCATCCCATTTTACATACTCAGCTTTTTTTTTAGGTTATTTATTTTTTTTGTATCTGTTTCGTATGTGTGCTGATAAAACTAAACTAATAAAATCAAGCTGTAGATATATTTCGAGTACAGTACATTGAAACTTTTCGCCACATGTTGTCGTTTCGGAACTTGTACAGAATCAGTGAAAAGATCCGACTCCTATGATTCGTTTAAAAAAAATCCGAAATCTCTAGCATAGCAGGGTAAATGATTAAATGGATAAAACAATTTCCTTACTAAAATTTTATTTTTAACTAAGTTCATGTATACCTGTCTTGTCACAGGTAAGTGGTTGCGGAATTAGACATTTTAGCTATTGCTAGTTTTAAGTATCGTCTTGGATGATTGTGTCTGGTCTTTGGCGTTTATCGATTTTAATAATAACATGTTCCAGTCTCTAGTAAACTGGAAGACTTGGATTACGCATCTGAATGAATTTCAACAGGGATTTGATAGTCTGGGCCGCACAGCGCCATCTGTTGTCATATATAAAAAGAAACCCTACTTTTCCATTCAAAGGATCAACTTCTCCCTACTGGAGATAGAAATAAAGCGGTAGACATGTAATTATCTGGTTTATAAATAGTACATCGACACAAAACCTTCAAAAAGTTCCTGTTATTTTCTCAGAGCTATTACAAATGCTTCGTACGTCTAAATGACTTATTCATAACTAACATAGAACTCAAATTAAACAACCCTAGTACACAAACTATACAAAGGCTTGGCATAAAGTGTGTGCATTTTTACAATTAACGATGACAATCTTAAAGAAAGTATATTCAAACTTATGTTTTATTTCATTAGTTGTAAAATAGTCCCATATGATGGTTCGTACTACAAAAACAAGATCGTGTCAAATCCAAACCTCCAGCCTTCTTTGCCACATAAACCTTTACAATCTGGAAACAGAACAAAAGTCACAATAACCATCATTTCAAAAGATGTATTGAACCAGCATCAACTAAGTCCCAAATAATAGGACTGATCCAGAAATGCTCTAGAGCCACTTCCCATCACCTCTCCTGAAATAACTGCACTGACTGGATTGTAAAATGACACTGGGAAAGCTTCTCAATCCAGTCCGAGCCTAGTTTTGATTTGTATATCCAGTCAAACAGACACTCTATTGCTTGTAGAAGATTAAGTGATAATATGTTGGCCCTTGGCAAGTGGAAGTTATAACCTTTTTCAGTGGGTTGGAGTAGCTTTAGTGTATCTTGGACCAGAACTTTAACCAAATCCCTAATAAATCAGTTTCTAATATTAACTTGAATTATTACAACTTAAAATATGTTTGGAAAATCTCCCTGCATCGACAAAAGAGAATTAGACATTAAAATGTGGAGGGAAAAAAAGAAAATGGGCAGGAATAAAGTATGACCAATACATTCCCTAATGTCATCTTCAAATGTGACACTTGTGGAAAGGGATGGCAGTTAAGAGAAAAAGACTTAATCTTCCCTTTTTTGGAAAAGCTATAGCGTCACAACAATGGAGTGCTTAGGAATTCTATACACTTGATTCCAATTCTAATGCCCCTCCCTGTAAGTCATCAAATTCTTCACCCTAATTGTACAAAACTACTTCTCAGATAAGAGAGATGTTTTTCTTCAGAACCCTGAGAAATAGCTGCAAATCGTATTTGTTTCTTTCCCAAACCACTTAATCTAATGTAATGCAGTTTCAAATGAAGCTTTGCGCCACATAAAGCATTTCAAAACAGTCACCAGTACATGTTGTGAAAAACGCAACTCTACAAAAGAATTGCGAAGCTTTTTTTAATTACATTTTGAAAAAGGCATTGCGTTCCAGTTGAAATGTAAATCGAGTGCTTCAAAAGAGTTAATAGATTTATTATGAAAGTACAAATTTGTTGCACTCGCTTATAGTCCAAATCTAAATGACATTTCTCCGTAACAGGGGGAGGCAGAAATGCTTAAACACAGGCTTCAACAGTGACTCTTGATCAAATCTGATGAGGATAAACAGTAGGGCGAGAGTGAAATGTTGACGTTTTCGGGAGAGGGTGGAGTTGAGTCGCCTCTATTTAGCTGCAACTTCATTCTCAGCTGGTTGGCCTGTAGCAGTCTCTGCAGTTTTGGAGGCCTAGAACAAAAGGCATCAGAAAGACACATGAATGAAGAGTACTGACTGATGGTATTCAATTATGCAAAATAACCAGAATTCCATGACAGTTTAAAAAGTTAAAATGCACCCATAAAAAACCTGCATGGCTGTCATGCCTTTGTGCAGGCTGACGATGACTATTTTTCATATAATTATAATGAATGTGGACAGTCAAGCTCCAAAATGACCAAAGCACCATAAGTCTGAAAGCCTCTTCACACCAAGGATGATAACTATACTGATAATCCATAATGACAACTATAACAATATAAGCATCGTAAAACTATAATGAAACAATCTATGAGAATAGGAAGTCCATACCACAACTATAACAATAACGACACAGAGGAACGATATTTTAAAACACATTCAGAAGGATTTTTACCAGCTGATGAATAATAAACACACTGACAGCCAATCAGAATGCATCCTGCTTGAGCATGTAAAGATGCAGATGACATAACTGCAGGGATGCTTATGATAAACAGAATGTTAGTATGGATGCAATACATTTATCATTCTTGGTGTGAACAGGCTTTAATCCATAGAACCTGCATGCCATATTCCATTATCTGAAGCCATATAATAGTGATGTGGGAAACACAAACTAAAAATGGAAGAAATTTGCTGGAAATTTCTGTTGAGCCTAGTTTCTTACAGGAGTGCAAATGATTTGTACAGAAATCGAGATTGCCATCTTTATAATGGCTTAAAAGCGTCTTTCTTCTTGTTTCATTCTATTGAGCTTCTCATTTTGGGTTTTTTGTTTGGGAACAACATGAGGATTGTTCCTTCTTAAAGCAAAGGCCTCACCTTCTTTTTCTTCTTCTTCTGTGCCTTGCGACTTGCAGAACTCTGGATCAGAGACTGAAAATGACAGAAGAAACCAAAACTTCACTGTAGGAAAAAGCTTCATTTATAGTAAATTTACATAGAATCGATGGGCCTAACATACCTTCAGTTCAGGATCTTGAACATCATATTCAGACTTGTAGTGTTCCGCTTCAAATGTTCCACTGGTGATTCTCAAGGGCCCATTGGCCATCAGCAGCACTGTGAACTTAAACTGAGCCACAAATTCACCTAAAGACAGAAACAGGTGGAAAGACAGATTTACCAGGTAAAGAAAGAGGTCAAAGCAGGAAGAAATGCCGCAATGATAATGAAACTGACCTTCTTTCTCATTCAGCACACTAAAAGGCTGCAGAAGCTCATGTTTGGAAATTTCTGTTGAGCCTAGTTTCTTACAGGAGTGCAAATGATCGGGTACAGAAATCGAGATTGCCATCTTTATAATGGCTTAAAAGCTTCTTTCTTATTGTTTCATTCTATTGAGCTTCTCATTTTGGGTTTTTTGTTTGGGAACAACATGAGGATTGTTCCTTCTTAAAGCAAAGGCCTCACCTTCTTTTTCTTCTTCTTCTGTGCCTTGCGACTTGCAGAACTCTGGATCAGAGACTGAAAATGACAGAAGAAACCAAAACTTCACTGTAGGAAAAAGCTTCATTTATAGTAAATTTACATAGAATCGATGGGCCTAACATACCTTCAGTTCAGGATCTTGAACATCATATTCAGACTTGTAGTGTTCCGCTTCAAATGTTCCACTGGTGATTCTCAAGGGCCCATTGGCCATCAGCAGCACTGTGAACTTAAACTGAGCCACAAATTCACCTAAAGACAGAAACAGGTGGAAAGACAGATTTACCAGGTAAAGAAAGAGGTCAAAGCAGGAAGAAATGCCGCAATGATAATGAAACTGACCTTCTTTCTCATTCAGCACACTAAAAGGCTGCAGAAGCTCATGTTTGGCACACTCCACCACTCCCAAACGAGCCTTTCCTTCATCCTCAAACGCCCTGCAGGACACAAAGTCTACTTTGTTTACCGAATCACCATGAAATCTAAACCATCGATTTTTCCACCAAGTGTTAAAGTCATTGTCCTAGCATTCTCATGTGATACTACAAATATAAAGCACACACGTCATCAAAAATCAACAGCATTGTTCTCACATCATTTGAGCCTGCTTCATTCATCGAAGAACAGAATATCTAATTCAGACGCACTTCTTGATTTAGCCAATTAGAAGCCAAACAAATTGGAGGATAGTGCTGCTGCCCACCTAAGAGTGAAGGGCATAGCGTCAAAGCGCCTCTCCACCTCACTGAAGAACATTCTTGAGGTCTTCATTTTCAGCCCATACTGCTTACTGGGGTCCCGTTTGTAGATGGTTGTCCTCTGACCGCCATCTCTTGCCTATTGGTGAAATCATACAGGTTAAAT